CCGGGGTGATGTGTCAGGGAAAGGTGTCTGAGATGTCTAAAATCATACTCTCTATTACAAACTTTTAGAGTTTTTTGAAGGAGGCATGAACAATAAATGATTGAGTTAGCACTTTATATGTACTCTTAATTCTTAATAAATTGAGTCAGTTTATTCAAGCAAAATTGTATGCAGGGATTAAGTTACCAGAACAAAATACAGTGTAACGAGTCCTTCCAAAGGATGGTACCAAACAAACCCTTTGCCATGGAGTCTATTCCGACTCATAGTGACCTTATAGGACAGAGTAGAACTGGGTCTTAGGGTTTCCAAGGAGCGGCTGGTGGATTCGAACTGCCAACCTTTTGGTTAGCAGCTGAGCTCTTAACCAAAGGATGGTAGGAAATTAAAAAAAAAAAAAAATCTTAGATTTGTCAGGGTTCTTATAAGTTTAATGTAATCATCATCCTCATTTATTTTCAAGCGTGCTCCTTGGAGCTGTGGATATTCCAGTAGACTCCATGGAGGGCTGTGTGGGACTGGGCAACATGCAGATTGGACTCTAGGACCCCAGCCCTGGGTAACCAAAGCAGCTTTATATTTTGATCTGTTTCGTATATTGGGTTTTTGCATTTGAATAAAAGGTGCTGCTCCAAAAAAAAATAGTTTGAAAACCACTGTTGTCCCTAACAAGTAAATTTCCTCTGCAGCATTTTTATGAATGGTTGTTCTGCCTTTGCTTGAACACCTCCAGTGAGAGGGAGCTCTCTGCCATTCTTTTTCAATTTAGCCATTTCTCTTATCCTCAGTAAGATCCTCCTGTTATTGAATTCATTGCAACCTGTATCTTCTGTCCATTGGCCCTAGTTCTACCTTGAACCATATAAAATAAATCTAAGCCCACTTTTTTCTGACATCCTGTTAGATATCAAAGGATACCTCTCATGTCCTGCTCTTCTCAGTCATCTTATTTCCCAGGCTAATTATCCTCAGTCCTTTCAATTTTTCCAGCTTTGTTCCTTTAGTCTAGATAGATTCCAGTTTATTAAAGGTTCCCAAAGCACAGAATACAGTATTCCCAAGTGTAGTTTAAGTAGCACAGAAAGGAAGGATACCTTCCTTGTTCTAAAGAATACATTTTTGATAACACATTTTAAAATGACATTTGTTTTTCTGGGGGTCATCTTTTCCTTTTTCTTGTTGAGATTTTAAAAAAGCTGTCTTTTTTTTTTTTTTAAACGTAACTTTTATTTTTATCATAGTAATATGTGTATATAGGTTAAAGAAACAAATAGCACTTCCAGGCTTATACTAAAAAAAGAACAGCTTGGTTACCATTTTCTAGAAGTAATCATTTTCAGCTACTTTAGCTGTTCCTTTTGCATTTGCTTTCATATTTCTAAGTAACGTACTTATACTGCTATTTTATGATTTTTCAATCTTTTACATTATCTATTTACTTTCTGGAGTCCCTGGGTGGCACAAATGGTTAAACACTCAATACTAGCTGAACGGTTGGCAGTTCAAACCCATCCAGAGCCACCTCAGAAGACAGTCCTGGCCATCTGCTTCTGAAAGTTCACAGCCTTGAAAACCTTATGGAGCAGTTCTACTCTGCACACGTGGGGTTACCATGAGTCAGAATCAAGCTGATGGCAACCAGCAACAACAATATTAAGTTTCTACAATGGAAATCATGAATTTACCTCTTATATCCTCTCTGTCGCTGAAAACAAAACAAAGCACATAAACACTTCTTACCTTCATCGTCCCAATATAGTTGTGTGATAACTTTGGTTAAATCAGTGTTCTGTATTTACATTATGATGACTGTGTAAATAAAATCTGTAGACTAGTCATATGTTATATTATGATTACATTTCCTTGCTCAGTGTTTTGTTCACCTTTGAATTCTTAATTTTGGTTTTGTCTGTACTTATGATGAATGCAGCTTCAAATTTTCAGACTTAACATCAGTTGCATTTTACCCCTCTTTGAGCCATTCCTTCTGGAACCGTCTGTCCTGCTTTACTCTGGACTGGTTGTTCTCTAGGCCTGCTACACAACTGTCATTCTGAGATTTCCCTTAATATCATCCTGGAAATTCCCTCTGCCTCTTTTCTTTGTTGGAACCTCTTGTCTTCCTTTTTCTTTATTTACTCCCTTCTTTTGGTGGAGTGCATACTCCAATAGCTTTCTGAGAAAGAGTGTGTGGACCTTATATATCAGAAAATGTTATTCTACCCTTAAACATTGGTTTCTGATAAACATCTTAATTTCTGATCTTTTATATGTGACTTGTTTTTCTCTTCCTAGAAAAATTTTAAGATTTCTCTTTATCACTGGTATACTCTTTGTTGTCTCAAAATAATGTGCCTTGGTATATGGGACTTTGTCATTCAGTGGGTTTTCATTTGCCCTTCAATCTAAAAATTTGAATCTTTTAGTATCAGGAAATTGTCTTATGCTGTTTCTTTGATAAGTTTCTCTCTTCTTATTTCTCTGGGTTTTTTTCTGTAACTCTTTTTAGTTAGATATTGATCCTCCTTGGACTAATTCTCTAGTTTATTGTTTTGTCCGTATTTTCTATCTCTGTGTTTTGATCTACTTTCTGGGAAAGTTTCTCAGTTTTCTTTTCTAACCCTTTTATGGATGTTTTTCATTAATTTTAAAAAGCTCTTCCTTATTCTCTGAATGTTCATCTTTTATAGTATCCTGTTCTTATCTTATGGATACAGTATCCTCTCTCCTCTCTCTGAAGCCTGCAATGATACCATCTTTGTTTCTTTTAAGTTTTTTTTTTTTGTTTGAGGTTTCAGGTGATACTTGATTTCTTTTTTTTTATTGTACTTCAGGTGAAGGTTTACAGAAAGAAGTTTTTTTTTTTTCTTTTCTGTTTGTTTTAATCTTGTCTGATCATGAAGCTTTCATAAAATGATGAACCTGGGTTCATATATATGTGTACGTGTGTGTTTGTGTGTGTGTGTGTATACACACACACACCCACAGGACCCCTGGTGGTACAGTGGTTAAGAGCTTGGCTGCTGACCTAAAGGTCTACAGTTTGAATACACCAACTACTCCTTGGAAACCCTATGGGGCAGTTCTGTGCCGTCTATAGGGTCGCTATGAGTCGGAATCGACTCGACGGCAGCAGGTTTGGTTTTTGATAATATACACAAAGGCCGAAGCTGTATTGGAAATCATGAAGTCCCACTCAGGTTCAAGGGAAGGGGTAAAAACTCACCTGATGAGGAGTGGCAAGATTGTGGAAGATCATGTGGGACTGGAAATACGTCATGGTTATTTTTGAAAATAAAATCTCCCCTACCCACTCTATGCTAAGTTAACTGCAGGATGTGTTTTTTTTTTTTTCAGTTTTTCTATGTTTTATCCATTTTTAAAAATTAGGGTAACATTTGACTTCAGAAGGTCCTCATACTACTTCCATTTTCCATTTTGGTATTCCTAAAAGATTACGAGAACAGTACATGTATTCCATCTGTAAACTCTTTTAGTCATAGAATTTAATTCATCTGGACCAGGAACCCTAAATGGAGCCCTGGTGGCGTAGTGATTAAGAGCTCCTGCTGCTAACCAGAACTTCAGCAGCTCGAATCCATCAGTTGATCCTTGGAAACCCTATAAGACAGTTTTCTACCCTGTCATATAGGCTCACTATGAGTCGGAATCAACTCGGAGGCAATGTTTTTTTTTTAGGACCCCTAAATATATTTGGAGATTACCATTTCCCCACCTCTGTAGGGTTTCAGTTCTCGCAAATCAATGTTTGTTCTGTCTTTTTCAGTCTGATAATTATTCTTTTTGACAAATAAAGTAGTTGAGCAGTCTGCTTCGCACTCTCCATCATCCGTTAACACAAAATTGTCTATTCCTCTTAGGAGACTTTCTTCCCTTAAATACAATTTTAAGAGCCCGTTTTTGTTGTCCTTGACATTTTTGCAAGCCTCAGCTTATTCTGTGTTTTAGTCTCCTGATTCCACTTACCAATTTATGCCATTGTTCTCTGCTTGTCCTTGATTATGTGTCGCTTCTTTCACCTTTTATATTTATCATGTTAAATCTGAGTTTATTAGAGTGGTCTCTAGCTTTTTTGTTTTGTTTTATGTCTTTGAGCATTACTCCTTTCTTACTCACTGTGACCATTTTCGTTATGTAGTTAAAATTTCTTTTTGAGATCATTCAGCTTTCTTGAGTTTCTTCCCTTTAATAAGTATGTGGTCTGATAATGCTCAGCATTTTCTGTCTAAGCTGAGAATGTTCCAGGATGAATGTTAGCTTTCTCCAAAGACGCTTGTTTTTTCCATTTCACTAACAAGTACCTTTTGAGCCTAAGAACTAGGTCCCGAATAGCAGGGTTGATCATCCTTCTATGGAAAGACTTTGGAGTTGATTCAGAACATTGTTTTCAAAAGGGGGTTGATGACAAAGTGTTTTAAAACTGCTGTGGATTAAGAAGCATGTACTAAAGTCAGCAAAATTGAATTGAAAATTTTGGGATAGGTATTTGGTTAGGGAAAAAATGATATGCTCAATTTGGGTATTTTGGGACATATAATGAGGAGAGTTAAGGCTAACCAAGTATTTTTTGAAACAGTGGATAAAAAAACTCACTTAGGTTTTTTTCTCCTTCAGTGCTATGACTGGGAAAACCCACGTGGTTGTATTCTAGTGAATATGGTCTAACCATACTCAACTTTTTGTGTCTTTGATCCATGTTGTTTCTGCCTTATGCTGTATGAAAGGAAGATTTTGGGTTACAATTGATTCCTCTTCTCAGCTTTCAGTGACAGAGTCTGGTAAAGGGGGCAGATGCTACTCCTTAAATCAGTTTTCCTCTTTTCAAACTAGAAAGTGGAAACACAGGGATGTGAAAGCTGTTTTTGTTTTGTTTTTTAAATCATGCCTATTTCAGAAGTAGGTTATACTCTCTATTTGCCAGGATGGGCTCTCTACTACAGTGTCATCTTTTTTAATTGTCTGTGTGTGTTTCTTTGCAGTTGGTCTCTTCCCATGGTGATGTCTGTTTGCCACCGTGGTACTGGTATTGCCTTGAGTGCAGGTACGTATTTTTATACACACACACACACTTTTTTTGAGGAACTTTGGTGTTTCTATGGCTCTTGCAACTGCCTCCTTTGCAACTCAGCCACTTGATTTCGAGTCCATTTAAATGTAATTGTTCATTCATTCCTTTAACAATTAATTATTAGTTCCTGCTACACTCAGGTACTGTAAAAACATCATAGGAGGGGTGTCTGACCTCTAACTTCATGAGGGGAAAGGAGAATCAAGATCAACAGCCCAAGGCTGATTCCTATGAGGTGGAGGTCAGACATGCCTTCTCTGTCTGCCATCTTTACCAACTCTGACACCGACTGTCCCTCCCCTAGCATTCTCTACTTCTCTGCTGAGGTCAGTAATTCATTACAATGACCACACAGAACTCAGTCAATACTCATGATTATGGGATTTATTAAGGAAGTAACGGTTACAGTTCAGGCTCAGGAACACTCAGTATACAGTTCTTCCATCAGGACAGCCTCTTCCCAGCTGTGCCTTCAGGCACATCTCTCTCTGACCTCTTGGCCTCTGCCCAGCTAGGGCAGGTGTTACAGAGCTCTTTTAACTCTGCCGATAAGTGCCCAGAGGCACCCCACTCTGCCAGTAAGCTTTGGCCCAAAGGCACTCATCTTTCTCGCTCCATGGGCCGGGAAGCCCTGCACCATCTCCTGCCAGTCTTCTCCTGTCAGTCTCTCCTGCTGTCATTTCTCCGCTACCGCTTCTCACCGTCTTCAGTGTTAAAACTCTCTCTCTCTCCTGGTTCCAGGAGGGTCTCAGCGCAGGGATCCTGGGTCCAAAGGACACACTCTGCTTCTGGTTTTCTTTGCTTGGTGGGATCCTCTCTCCCCCATCTCAGGGATGGCTCACCTCAAGCCCAGTGGGATGGCATAACTGACCAGTCCCTTTGGTGGGCCACAATTACCCTATCTGCAAAATCCCACCCAGTCACCTGAGTGAGAGTTACAAGACCATGGCGAGAAAGGCCACACAAAAGTGATCCATCACACTGCAATCTTTATAGTTTTATTGATAATTAAGTAAGGATAGGAACTCCTTTCTAAGATCTTATGCCATCATTCCTTTGTGTGGTAAAAGGTGTAAGGATAGTGGAAGGATGATTGGCATTGCCTGGGAATCGTTGTGTAGTTCCTAGCTTTTAACCTACCTGCACTGAACTAATAGGGTAAATTTCAAGATTAGGCCTTCCTAACTGTACATTCATAGTTGCTTTCATTTCTGCTTGCTTACAGTCTTAAACCTGCTTAGTTTGATGATACTGATGGGCAGATTTAATCTTAAAACTCATTGGAAGTACAAGAGCAGTTTGCTTATTATGCTATAGTTTTCTTTATATTCTCAATGTATTTGTCACCACTGAATGAAAAAAAAGGATATTAGTGCTTTTATGGAGTGTACTGATGAAAAATGTGTTCGTTTGCTAAACATGGCTAAAGTTGAGTATATACATTTTTCGTGACTGTGCTTAATAATTATTTGTTTTTCCTGTCTTTCCGCCTTTGAAAGACTTTGCATGCATCAGCATGTATTCTGTTCTTCCCTAAACCTTCTTCCCCAATTCCCATAATAGAAAGTAGTGGATGCTTTTTATAGAGTAATGGTTACCATGTTTCCCCAGATGCTGAAGTTCCCTCATTCAAAACTGGAAAGGAACAGGGTTTTGCTAAGTAGATGACTTAGGCAAATTAGCTAACTCTCTAAAACTCAATTTAGTCCTTGTAAAATGGGGTTACTAAGAATGCTTGGAGCCCTGGTAGCGCAGTGGTTAAAGCACTGAGCTGCAAACCAAAAGGTCAGCAGTTCCATCCTACCAGCCTCTCAATGGGAGAAAGATTTGGCAGTCTGCTTCCTTAAAGATTTACAGCCTTGGAAACCCTATGGGGCAGTTCTACTCTGTCCTATAGGGTCACTATGAGTCAGACAGCAGTGGGTTTTAATAACATTTACCTCAGTATTGATGGGGTTTTGAGAAGTGTTATATATACTGTGGGTGCTGACTTATGAAACCAGGGATGAGAATGAGAAGCATGATGAATTTTAAAATAACAGTAGTCTTTTAGAAGATGATGTACACTGGACCAAATGGCAAGATCATTTGGCCTGAAAGGAAGTCAGTTCCAACAGCAGTGACCTTTGCATTCTTGTGGCCCTCCTCCAATCCATTTTTCACACAACAGCAAGAAAAATCTTTTGAAAATAAGTTGAGTCATGTCACTGTCTTGCTTAGAATCTTCCAATTACTGTATTTGCCTTTGAACTTTAGATTAAAATTCAAACCACCACCATGGCCTAAAATGCCCTTCCCAGTCTGGCCCTTGCCTAACTCATCTCTGCTGTACCTCCTCTTGCTCACTCTCCTCCAGTCTTTGAATTCCTTGGAACAGGCAAAACTCTTTCCCACCTCAGAAGCTTTACATGTTTTGTTCTCTTGGTCTGAAATACTCAACCCCACCTCTTGCTGCACTATGGATGGTTAATATCTCAACATAATTGTCAATTCAGAGACTACTTTGCTTACCACCATATCTAAAGTAGTAGCTGCCTTGTTAATTTTTTATGTCACAGCACTATTCCTTTGTAACTGTTACTGTGCTGTTTGTTACCTTCATAAGTTTTATTAGATGATTTGTAATTATTTTGTTTGCTAACTTTTTATAAATCTGTCTCTTGAATTAAGAATATAAATTCTTGAGAGAGTCGGGACTGCATCTAATTTACCATTCATATTGTCTAGCACGCAACCGATACTTAGTAAACATTTATTTACTAAATGAATACACCTATGTTCGCTTTGTTCATAGTGATTGCTTCAGAAATGTTCATTCTTCCTACCCTCTAATTAATCTCATGTTATGTGATATAAATTGGATAGGGTTAATACATACCCTCTACCCTCAAGGAGTTATTAGTCTGAGGAGTGAGACAAATAAATATTTATAACATACTATGATAATTTTTTAATAAGAGATATGGGACCCCTGAGGAGAGATGAACAGATACCCTGGAGGAGTTGGAGGGCTTGAAAGAAGGATGAGTAAGAGAGTTCATGAAGAGGAGTTGGAGGAAGGCATTCCAACAGAGAAACCACCTCATGCAAAGGCATAGGGATTTGAAAGTGCCAGAGTCATTGGATGATGATGACTAAGCCTGGGTGGCTTGAGAGAGGGGTTTGTGGGAGAAGTGGCAGAAAATGAGGCTGGAAAGTGGGCCAGACAGTGAAGGACTTTGACTCCCATGCTGAGGAGTTGGAATGTGATCTATAGAGCATGGGGAACCATTAAAGTTTCATGTTCTCTTTGGTTCTAATAACAGGGCAAGCTGGCTTCAATAAGTCCATAATAAATTAATTATTCAGACTGTAGAGATTGTTTGACTAATGCATAAATTTTAAAAGCATGTTAATCTAAAAAGCATGTTGACACTAGTTTGACTTTAAAACACAGTTTATTAAAAACTTTACAAACGGTGCATTAAAAGATGGAAAGAGAATGCTAATAGCACTCTTCTATTGCTTAGGTTCTGTAGGGATTAAAATACTTTTGATTTTTCATGGTGACAGATGGTATAAAAATCTAGATGAAATTGGGTAAATTCCTTGGGAATGGCAGACAGCTGAAGCTGTAGTAATGAATGAGACTGTAAATAGCAATATGCGTTATACAACAATAAAAAGAATGAGATTAGGAAGAGAAAATAAGGATACTAAACAGAAATTTTAGAATTGAATGCAGCTATAAATGAATCATACAGTTAACTTGAATGGCTATAAGAATGGTCCTGAATGTTTTGGATAATTTTTAGCAGTGGATCATACTGGAGAGTCATAACTTCACTGAGGATTGCCTGGATCCATGGGCTAACCTGCTGATCACGCAGTCACCTTTCTTTATAAAAAAGCCAAAAGGATTTATAGATTTATAAAGTAACTAATGGCCATTTTTTTTCTTTTGGGCTTTTCATGGGATGGGAAATTAATTATTAATTCTTAGAATTCAGGTCATCTCAGACTGAATGCAAGAATTAGCCAGCTACAAAGTTAGAGGATACAGTCCCCACAAGAGATTGCCCTCACTTTTGACACCAATTGCAAACTCTCCAAACCTCTCTCAAGTTTGAGAATTCACTAGAAGGGCTTACGGTACTCACTGAAAGCTGTTATACTCACAGTGCTGGTTTATTACAGGGAAAGGATGCAAATTAAAATCAACCAAGGGAAGAAGCACATAGGGCAGAGTCCAGGAATGTTCCAAAACATGAAGCTTCTGGGTGTCCTCTCCCCGTGGAGTCATGGACAGCATTTCTTTTCTGTCATCAGTGTGTGACAATATTTGTGAGCCCCACCACTGACTAGGGAAGCTCACTAGAGTTTTCATTGGGGCTGATCACAGCCCATATGGCTGACGTTTAGTCTCCAGCCCTTCCGGAGGTCGGGCTGATACCTTTAGTCTCCAATCCCTTCTGAAGGTCAGGCAGATATTTTGTGGGCCAAAGCTCCCATCATAAATCACATTGTTAGGCAGTTGTGTGGCCAAGACCTCTAGGCAAACGAAGACATGCCTATCAGGTATGACATTCCAAGGGCCTATAGGTGACACTAGTAGCCAAGGGCAAAGGTCAAACATCTCTTTGGGTAAGGTTAATTCTTTACTACACACTAAGGCAGTGTAGGGAGTCCTCGTGGCGTAGTGGTTAAGAGCTTAGCTGCGAACCAAAAGGTTGGCAGTTCTAATCCACCAGCCGCTCCTTGGAAACCCTATGGCGCAGTTGTGCTCTGTCCTATAGGGTCACTGTGAGTTGGAATCGACTCCACAGCAATGGGTTTGGTTTTGGTCTAAGGCAGTGCGGAGAAAGTGAACTTTGGAGTGAGACGGATTGAGTTCATTTCCAACTCTGTCTCTAATAACTAGCTGTGAGATCTTGGGTAAGTTATTTGACCTCCCTGAGCTTCAGATTTTTTTGTCCACAAAATGAGGATAATAC